TATAATGAATTCTTTTCTAAAAGTTCTTAAAAATACCCCTCCACTTAAAATACTTCTTATAGGCTTTCACTTAAGCCTATTAGTCCAACACGTTGGGCTTAATGACTTAGTAATTAAATGAACCATACAAATAGGCTAGTTAGTTATTTTAGAGAGACCAATTTAAGAAACTATTTCCTACCATTATTATTTTAGAAAACCCAATTTAAGAAACTATTTCCTAAATTACACCTATTATTTTAGGAAAGCCAATTTAGAAAATTATTTTCTAAATTACCCTTATTGAATTTTAGGAAATAATTTTTTCAAAATTCTCTCGGTGCTTAAAGAATTGAAATCAATTATTTCAATTCCTATGTTCTTTCATAATTCTTTGCTTCTCTTTATCCAAGTCAATGTCAAGTTTATGCATATGACTCAATAAGCTTCTAGATATGTTGATAATGTATCAAAAAGCAAAAGGCAATTCTTTTATCTTTTGATATATAAATCAAGATTGACTTCTAGTGAGGCATCATGACTATCCAATTATCAAGAAAGATTTACTTAATCCGTAACAACCTTTCATGAATATGGTGCCCATATAATTCGAGTTCTCATTTTAGTTTATTATAGTGCGATCTCAAATTTGGTTTGGTGTTTATTTGATTGTGATCACACTAATTTTTTCGATCTTCAAATGTTTTAGCTATCAAGTAAATCAATCATGCTCTATTGATATACTTCCATTATGGTCATAAATTCTTGAGCGAAATTCATCGAAGTGCAATGTGATAACTCTTTTCGCATATAAATAATGACATGTCCTATCTTAGTTATCCACCTATCTCCTTTAGATTCTTGATGTACTCAATAAATCACCCATATGCAGCCTTTTATCGATTCCATTCTAACGAATGTCAAAGTACATCAATCCTCTAATAAGATAACCATGATAATTTTAAGTCAAAGAATTACTTGTACCCATCTCGTATGAGATTTTCATAAACTATACCAAATGGGTTCTCATGGTGAGTCACATCCAGTTATATGTTTTTTAACATTATTCACATGTGTTCTTACTTAGTTATCACCATGTCGGTAGGTGTGAGATCTCCTACTACTATCCTATAGTAAGAGCATAGTACACTCAAGTTTTATCATATATTATCAATGTCTAATTTCGACAATACTATGACTTGGGGCATTTAGGTTTCGTTTGTTTTGCGAAAAACAACTTCGTAGAAAAATCAATTCCTAAAGAAGCTATTTTTCAAGAAATTGTTTTTCAAAAAAATATTTTCTCGTCGTTTGGAAATTACATGGAAAAGCTGCTGGAAAATATATTCCAGCGTTTGTTTGATACGGAAAATTAAAATACAAAAACGAGCATGCGATTGTTACATCAACAAGTTTTGAGAAAACTTCAAAAAGATATATTCATAATTTCACAATATAAGATACATTTAGAAAAAAAATTAATAAATTTTCATAAATACCGACTCTAAAACTTTAATTCAAAAAAATAAAATGTATTTTTTTTAACCATCAAACCAATTCATCAAAATTATTTGAGACAAAATCAAGTCAATATTCACATTTAGTAAAAATATATATATATATTCTACGTAATCCTAGTATTGTTATTTTGGTAACTCAATTAAGAATTTTTTTATATGGAAATTAAACTGATAATTTAGTCTAAAAAATAATTTTATAAATTATTATTTATCATTTGTAGATAATTATTGATTTGGTTTCGAAAGATTAATGTTGGAATAATTGTAACTAATTATTCACTATAATTACCAACAAAATTTTATAACCGATTAAAATTACAAATTATTGATTTAGTTGTAAATAAATAGTATTGAGAAAATAATATATTTATTAATGAATTAATTAATTTCAATTTTTTTATAACAAATTACGAGTCTTGTAATAATCATTTTCAATCATTTAAATATAGTGTAAGTAGTGTTTGAGATAATAGTAAAAATAAATAAATAAATAAATTATTGACATATTTATTATAAAAATAATTTAAGGTGTAAAAATGATTTTTAAGAATATTTAATGTATCTATAAATCAAAAAATCAAATATTTGTAGAAATAGAGACAAAAATAATTAAATAATAATTGATAAGGAATAATTAAAATTTAATTTGATATATTTTAAATAAAAAGAAGATAGAGAAAAAATTTGTTAAAATATATCTAGAGAGAGGTAAGTAATGCAAGAGCGAGATAGCTCGTGAGAAGGAAAATGTTTTCCTCTTTTCAAATTGGGAAAACATTTTTTCAAAAATGCTATATCATTTTTTGTTGACTTTTTTCTAAACGTGAAACAAACACTCGAAAAATGAGAAAAACAAATTCTCGAACTTGTTTTGCCCCAAACAAACACAACCTTAAAGATTTCAATTAAGTTCATTCGTGTTTGTCTCACACCTATTGATCAATCATCAAAGCAATGAATATCATATAGACTTCTATCTAATTCAATCAATTTATAAATAACATGAATTAATAAAAAATTCTTTATTAATAAATATGCAATAATATAATATTCAAACAAGTTGGACTTTAGAGATCTATACTAACATTTTGTGATAAAAATTTCTAACTAGTAAAATAGATTCTTGGCATGAATACCATGATTTCCATAAGATTAAATATAGCTTATACAATTGGTGTGGTGAGTCGGTTCCTCTATAATTTTAGTAAAGAACAATATTTATAGTTAAATATCTTAAAAGCATTTCCAGTTTCATCCTGTCTTATAGTAATAGCAAACTTGTGTTAAATGGATACACATATACAAATATAATCGGTGACGTTGATTTTAAAAAATTCATATTGGAGTAATTGATGACTTTTATAAGAGAGTAGTTCATGACTATGGAGATTGCAAAAATACATTCCTCTATCCACAATAAAGGTTTAATACATTTCTCTGACTAAAGGAGGTCAAAAGTTGTTACAGATGATTTTTTTTTTTTTTTAACATAAACTTGGACTAAAGTAAGAGACTTTTATGTTAAATTGTGATAGTTAGAGTCTAATCTATCTTAGTAAGCATTTTATTTTTTATTCTTGAAAGAAGCACATTGAGGTAAGATATAAATAGATTCAAGATATTATGGAGAAGAAGTCTTTTATTATTAACAGGATCCATACATATGAGAATGGGTCGAATATCATGATTAAGCTTTTACCAAGGGAGAAGTTAGAGTTCTGTAAAAGACAAGCAAACCTGGTGGAGCCCCTTGAACGAGTCAAAATGAGAGAATTGTTGGGTCGACCTAAACCAATGTCACGTGAGTGACAATCATGTAAGCCCACCTTTGCTTATTTGTGTGGTTGCCAGACAACAAAAGAGAAAGGAAAAGAAGAGAGATTTTTTTTTCAAGAGAAAAAACATGTTCTTTATATTTATTGCGTTGATAGGATGGTGATTTCAAATCCAGTAAAATTGAAATACTGATATGTTGTTTTCAGCTCTTCAACTTTAATGATGTTAATTGTTGAGATTTTTTTTTTTTTTTTTGGTATTTCCTAATAACCTATTTGATTAGATCTAGCCTCCCCCTCCTTTTTTTTTTTTTTTTGTTGCAATTCATCTATAAGATAATGATTTTGATGTTTTGATGTACATCTTTTAGTTGAATTAAAAAAAAAAAAAAAATCTTGTATCGCATTATTTGATATAGTGAAAGAATTTGAATGGACTACGATCTAATAATTTTTTCCCACATCAAGGTTTCTTACGTATAATTTCGTACTTTGATTATAGTTGTTTGTTTATTTATTTATATATTAATTATTATTAATCGATTGATCCTCACTTTAATTGCACAAATAGTGAAAAAGATTTGTAACTTGTGTTCTGTGATTTTAGTTCATATATATGTCGTTTTCCAACAAATAGTTCATGAGTAAAAAATGCAATTATACCTTAAAAAATTCCTTTACAATGAAAAAAAAAATGCCTTTTTATGGGCAACCATAACTTCAACTACTGTCTTGTTACAAAAATAAATAAATAAATAACACTTCATGATCATCTCGAATAGCGAAACTTTTTATGTCAACATCGAACACTTATTTTGATAAGAATAACAAATCATATAAAAAATGCATTATTTTGTAGAAAGATATTAAGTGAAGATTTTGTCTCGACAATAAATAAACGTGCATTGAGGTTGAAGAAATACAAATCTCGTTAGATTCAAAGAAAAAGAAGAGAAAACAAAGAGAGAACCAAGTTGAAGAGAGAGAAATTTAAATGAAAATAGAGCGTGGAATGATGAGTTAGCATTAAAGGTGGATTTATTATGTATGGAAATATACTAGTCATTTCAATATTTACTCAATAAAAAAATTAATATTAGAACTTAAAGATGTAAAGTGTAATATTCAAAATATAAAAGTATAAAGTGTTTTCGCTATCAAAATACAGAGTGATTATGATAATATACTCTTGGAAGTGTAATAGTCATTTTTTAAAAATAAATCCCAAATCTTGCGGATGTAAAATATAATATTCAAAACAATGGATTTGCAAAATATTTGCGTCATGGAAACGTAGGGTGGTTGCTGTAATTTGCTCATACTTTTACACCATACCGTATAGTTTGATAACAGCATATTGCAGGCAATTCACAGTATAGAAGTCCCAAGATACACTGTAGTCCAATAACATGCTTGGTGATTTCATACCAGAGGCCATGAAATTAAGAGATTGAAGTTTTACTTCAGAAAACCCAACCCCACTTATACAGCATACCAACTTGACATTGGAGCAATTGAACTTGGAAAGAAGTGTTTTATAGAATATCTAATCCAAAACCAAAACCATAGTGACCAAGTATTTATTGAGAACAAGATAGTATCTTCAGAAACTGCAGAAGACAAATAGAATCCAGGCTAATATTCCCACTGGCATGAGCTTAATTTGCTACCATGGGATTGGGTTTCTTACAATTGCCACAAAAATTAAAGGAGACAAAATAAGGACTTAAGGTAAGCCGTCTTGAGTTGAAGCAAATCTATTGACAAGAGCCAACGCATTACTAGTCAAACGTGCAATTCTTTGTATGTGTCTCTTAACAATGGCCTTCACTTTTTTATTCATCGCCTCTTCAGCAAATCCATCCAAGCAGGTGTCATCATCTGTTAACGCTGCACTAACCCATGTTTCTACATCACTCATTACCATGGTAAAATTTGATCCGCCAGCGTGACCCATCTCTTCCATAGACCTTTGTAGCTCATACACCGAGTCACCAACCTCCTCTACGCAATCTAACATGGCTGCAACCACTCTTGGTTCTAGACCAGGAATTTTGGACACCCTTTTCATCAACCTTGATGTTGAGTCGGTGTTGATAAGGCTCACATTAAGAGCAGTATTAGCTAGTGTTTTAGGGTTGGTTTTGATTTTGCTCGCATAGATTGCAAGGGTGTGGTAGCATAACTTGGGATAGATTGTGGTGTTATAACATGATGTTTTAATATATTCTATGTTTGTGTTTCTTGCAGGTAAAGGTCTAGTGGCTGAGCATGATGAGTTTATTGGGGTAGACAATTGGAGAATGAGAATAGCTGCTAGAGCAAGGCCTAAAAAAGAAACTTCCATTTTTTTTTTTTTCTCTGTTTCTCAAACTAAAAGTAACTTTGTTGAATATGAGAAGGAAGAGAAAAATAGCCAGAATTATATAAAGGCTCAACTTTGAGGTTCCTCAAAAGAGCGACGAGGAACCTGATTTTAAGGATGAATGAGATGATAAAAGATATTCGTTAGAAAGGCTTAGTCAAGATGAAATTGCGTGAGGACCTTTGGATAAGCACTAGACAGGTTATGTCATTGCTTAAATTCGATACAAGAAAATCGTATTCTGATTGGGAAATCTCTGTTTTCCTCTGTCCTGCTTGTATTGAGTCCACGTCAAAAACAAGATAGGAAGACTAAAGAAGAATAAAAATCCCACCTCTAAGATCATAACAAAGTTTATTTATAGCTGAATTGGCAGTCTTATCATCCCCGTTATCGGTTGTTACCTGTCTAAGATTTGTTTGACTTTATAATAGTTAAAAGTTTTTACTCTTATATTATCGGTCAGGGTTTCTTCGTATTTATAAATACCAAACTAAAATACTTTTCAGGTTACATTTTAATGTTTGTCAGAGTTGACTCATGATTAATAATTAAACAAGACACATGGTTTAATCAAATTCTACCATTTTCAACGAAGTTTACTGCCTAGGCATTGCCCTATCGAATTTTCATGGCATGGTAGTTTTCTAGCCTTTGGTCCCAGTCAGAAATTCCTAGCCAATACTATTTTATCAAATGAAAACCTTATCTCACCACCAACAATAAATAAAAGATCAAAGTTCATGAACCAACCAAACTGTGTACAAAAACTTATCGCTTCTGATGAAAAAGGACAAATATTATATCAACATCCGATTTCCTAGGCTTAATCAGACCATGCCAAAAAACCCTATATGCATTAATTGAAAACTGCCACAACCTGACAGTTCACCATCCTTTCTCTTCTGTCTTTTTCAGGGATTGGGAAATTAAAATTTGAACCAAGGGAGGTGTTACCTCATGCAAGAAAATGCAGATATGAAGCAAGCAATATCAAAGGTGTCATGTTTATAATTAATTTGCCAATTAAATGATTGATTGAGGGCCTTGCGAAATGTAACAATAATGATGCAAATATAGATGATTGATTGATTGGGTGGGGCTTTAGTTTGATGGCTCGAAACCAATCATGAAGTGTTTCGTTTAAAATATCAGGGCAATTTTACACAATGCCCTCTTCTGAATGAGAGAATTGAACTAACATGAAAAGGCACCTCCAGCTAACTCTTGAATACAACTGATATTGTAAGTTTATCAATCATTGATGACTCTCCTCATCTCAAATGTCTTTTCTAGCATAAGATACTAGCAGCCGTGACTACTTATCAATTCCGATTTGTTTGAGCTACGGCAAACTCAAGCCGCAAGGCACTTAAAAACTATGATGTATTGAACCCAATCCTGGTTTCTGGAGAAAATATCTTGTTTCAAGTCGAATTTTTAACCAAAATGAACCATATGTTTCATCACCGACATAAAATTTAATATTCGATTTGGGTTGGGTTGCAAAGCAATCTTGGTTCGGCCCCATACTTACATGGTAATATATTTTTATTCTTTTTCCTTTCTACACCATACTAAATCATAATAAAAAAAAATTTATAATACTCATGGAATAATTAATATAAATCACTTTATAAAAAAAAAAAAAAAGAGAAATAGAGGTTAGAAAACTTTTTAAAAAAAAATTAAAGCAACATCGAAATCTTCTCATCTTTTTTAGTGATTTTAGTAAGTCGATATATGATTATCTCTTTTTTTTTAAGTTTATCTCTCTAGTCAAAGGTTGGATTGGGTATGTAAAGCAATCTCGGTTCAACCTCATACTTACATTGTATCATATTTTTATTCTTTTCCTTTCTACACCATACTACATCATAATAAAAAAAATTATAACAATCATGAAATAATTAATATAAATTATTTTATAAAAAAGAGATAGATAAAAAAAGAAATAGAAGTCAAAAAATTAAAAAAAATTAAATCAATGTAAAACTCTTTTTATCTTTTTTAGTAATTTTAATGAATTCAAATGTGATATATATATATATATATATATATGAAGTAACTATTGTATCCATATATTAATTACATATTGAATTTATGAAATAACTATTATATTCGTGTAATAATTACACGTTGAGTATTATAAAATTTTTAATAACTCTTATTAATTTAACTTTCACTTTAGCTCCACATGGCTTCTCCTGCTTCTTGTCCATCCCGTTTTCCTTTTTTGTGGGCAGTTGAGCCTCACATTGTCATACCGCACTTTGTGGGGACTAGGAGAAACCGCTTTTCTTATTGTTTGTCAGCTTTCATGGACGTCAATTTTAGCTTCCCACCATTGCGAGAGAAATATAATACAATCAACGTCATCCTCCTATGTCAAGTCTCCATACCTCTTTAACAGAAGGGAATTTATGGTAGGAAGTCGTAAAAATTTCAAAGATTAAATGTTCTATACTTAAATCTACTTGAAAATCTCAGCACAACAAGAAACATCAATACACATGAGGAATAAACTTAAACTTCGAGATGAATTTTTTTTTTTTTTTTTTTTTGGGCTCCAATGCGATTAAGTTTGGCTATATCTGAGTCTTTAGGAACCTTAACTTCATTGATGACTTCACTAGAACAGGGGGCTTGGCTATACCCTGCTTTACCCTCGTCACGTTCAACTAAACTATGACGGGCAGAATGTTTTATAGACAATCTTGAGTTCATTCATATAAAATTTGCATGGATAACTTCAGAAGATAAGCACTACAAAAAGATGTTCACTACTTTTAATGCTTTAGATTGCATTTAGTTATGTGTAAAATCAACCAGAATCGGATTTGGTCGCCCCTGCTGGCAAATTAAGTCCAAAATTGTCAAAAGCAAAACTAGTAATCGTGCTTTAGCTTTAACCTTTTTTTTTTTTTTTTGTCCACAGGTGTTGGCCGGACTGTCCCCTCGTTCTCCTTGTGCTTAACCATAAAGTTACCTAATTGTCTTTTCAGTGATTAAAAATCCATTATAGTAGTAGTGTTGTACCATAAATAAACGCACTGAAAAGAGAAAGAGAGAGAAAAAAAGGCAACGTGGCATCCACTTGCTGATGTCAAGACAGAATTAGGTAGAAACGAAACCAAATCAAATAATAATAATAGAAAAAATCCTCCAGCAATTCTTATATTACTCACAGGAGAGAGAAATTTTAGGCAGAGTTCCACTGAGCGAGATTGACAACGTATAACGTCTCGAATGACAGGAGGATATCATGCACAACAATTGACGTAAATCTAAAGGGAAGTTGATTCACGTCCGATGATGATGCATATTATTTGAAGACGACAAAAACTACCGATTATGAAAGATGTTTAGTAAAGCAAGCAAATTTAAGCACGTTGAGTTTTTCACCTATTCTCTCAATGAACTGTTAATCATAATTTTAAATAATCAACGAATGAAAAAATAATCATAATTATTATTATAGATCACGATTTATTATAATATTAAAATAATAATAATAAAATGTTTTAAAATTATTATATAAGATAACCAGAGTTATTTAAAATTATGCTGTTAGCTGTGGAAGCAACAATTCAGCAAAGAGTTGAAGAGAAGTTGTCGTTACATGGACCATGAAAGAGACAGACGGCTGATGCATAGAACTACTTCTACAAGAAACGGAACAAAGGTATCATACAACACTAACAGGAGCTTGTTACAAACTTAGAGTCGTCTATCTTACATTTACATACAAGGCAAGCTCAAACACAAAACTAGGACACACATATAACCTTGCTTGTACACCTCATGATGATCACACACGACAAGAACCATCTGCCTCGGACGAAATCTAAGGATCTTTGGCACGGTGTCTAGATGCAAAACGATTAACCAGTGCAAGCGCATTGCTAGTGACCTGAGCAACATTGGTGATGCGGTGCATCATGGCATCCTTCACATTTCCATCCATTAGATGGCCAGCAAACCCATCAAGGCAAGTGTTCTCATCAGTTAGTGCAGCACTAACCCAAGTCTGCACATTACTCATATGCCACACAAAGTCTTGACCAACAGCTCGACCCAGATGACCAACCTCTCTAGCTGACTGGCTTAGTCGATCCACACTGTCACCAGTGTTTTCTATGCAATCCTTCACCGCTTGGTACTCCCTAGGCTTAATCCCCCTAACTTGCGTCATCTTGGTCACAAAAGCTGCAGCTGACCTAGCCCTGGCTAGACTCACTGACAAGGAAGTTAGAGCTAGATGTCGCTCATTTCGTTGAATGACAGTAGCATAACCTGACAAGCATTCGACACATAACTCAGGATAGTGAGTGGCCTTGCATGAGGCCTTGATGAAGTCTGTGGGGCTGGAGGCAGACGCTGCCATGCCAACCATGCAGAGGACGAAGGAGAGCAATAGTAGAGAAAGGACAAGTCTTGCCATGTCTTTGAAGAAGAGAGACGAAATGATTTCAATGAACTGAATGAAAGCATGGGATTGTTATAAAGAGTTCTAAAGGTGGTATCTATCTTCTATAAGATAAATAAAAGGGTGTTAAATGCCCATGCTTTCTTCTCTCTCCCCACCTTGATCTTCTGCATCTTTTGGTCTTTTCATTCTTTATTACTACCATGCTTTTCCATTATTCGGTTGAAAAGAGAATTGAAATTTTCAAATGCTTTCCTTTTCCTTCGAATACTCTAGTCTATCATACTAATGAAGATAGATTTCTCTGTGTGCATGTCTATATAAGCACATGCTTGCCTAACCTCCTAAAATGAACAAAGTAAGCTAACTACATCTACTTTACTAATGGGGTCAACTGGTAGCAACAATCCCCCTTTGAGGAGAGGTTGCAGGTTTAATTCTCCATAGGGGAATCAAGGTCAATTTCAAAGCACCAAAAAAAAAAAAAAACTACATCTATTTGATCTCATGTGGGAACAAAACACAATAAAAGCAAGATTTGGCAAAAAGAGCCAGAATGGGAACAGGAGCAAGTTCAGGAGGATTCTAGATTCACATCGTGTAGACAGACATGCCAGTGGATGATTCTTGCATTAAATATTTTCTGATATAATCTACGGAGGTCTAAGTCTTTGTCTCATATTGCAACGAAACGTAAACCAGTAAAAACATAAGTTCATCCAGAGTTATCCTTATTTTATGTGCCTTCCACTCCACATCACCCAATAACAGCCATAAGCACATGTGATTGTCACTGTGTGGGCTCACTTCACTGACTAAAACCCCTTGGTCCTGTGCAAAGAGGTTGAGAACTGCACTAATCTTCGACAATTATCATTTAGATGGATGGATAATCGAGTGTAGTTTTGCATCCTTATCTTTTACATAGGCAAGTAGCAAGCCAGTTTCCACGGTTCACATACACGTGTGGAAGTGAGCTGTCTCGAAAATTGTTGTTGCTTCTATTTATACAAAAGCAAGGTTTCATCCCTATCCACGATCAGAATCATTTTCACTATATAGCCTCTCCTGTAACTATTCAGTCCATAATTGAAACACACAGGTCCACAACATGATACTGAATTGCATAGAACTTAATTTATTGCAAGTGCTTGTGAAATATATACATTTCCACATGACTATTACTCAGAACAACATTTCGCTTCTATATAACTATCGGTGCACGTGTAAAAAATTATTTAGTTTAGCTTCTTAACTATAATTAGCTTTCCGTTATAAACTAATTTGTACAGTTATTACTGCAGTAAAAGTTAGTTAGAAGTTAAGTTAGTTTTTCCTACCTCTCTATAAAAGATTAGAAGAGATCATTAAGCTCTTTCTCTCAAAAATCTTGTTACAGTATCCAAGCATTTTCTTTTTTCTGGAGCTTTTTGTCTTCCTGAATTTTTTGGCAACCAAACACTTATTTTTTTCATTTTATTCTTATTTTCTTCTGCAAATCCTTGTTATTCATTGCAATGACTTATTTTTTGAGTTATGTGGTTTCCAGACACTGAAGAACAAATGTCTAGTCCTTATTTTTTTCATGTAAAAGAGAATCCTTCTTTTGTGCTGGTTTCTCCTCCACTTTTTGATTCCATTTGTCACTCTTGGCTTTGATCAATGAGGATGTCTCACCTCTCTAAGAACAAGTTATAGTTTGATGATGGAACTATCAAAGTTCTAAACAAATCGATTCTCTTTATTACGTTCGGGAGAGACATAATATGATGGTGTTATTTTGGCTTATTCGATCTCTTTCCTATGAGATTGCAAAAAGTGTTCTTTGATTGGATGTTGCCTTTAAAGTCTAAACGGATCTACATGATTATTTTCTCACGATGACTATTTCGAATTGCGAGCTTCATGAGAAAATCTATTCTTATAACCAAGGTTTACTTCCTATTGTTCAATATTTCATATATTTAAAGATATTATGAGAAGACTTCTCAAATTTAAGAATCATACCTATATATTCTTGTGATCCTTAATGTCATTGTGAAACTTGGGGAAAAATTAGTGATTTTCGAATTGTGATTATTTGATCGGGTTCTTGAAAGGTTTAAATGACAATTTTGCAACTCGTGAGATCTCAAATCTTGTTAATGGATCGTCTTCCATCCATTAACAAAGTTTTTGGCATGGTCATTCGACATGAACGATAACTCGGTATAGATTTTGGCATACAAAGTTCTACCGGCAACACCAGATCATAGCGTTGTCTTCTTTGATAAATCTATATCTCGGCTTAGGGGTGGTAGAGGTTTTTCTTTCTGCGGTAGAAGTGGTTTTTCTAGAAGAGGTGGTTTTTCCGATCAAAGAAAACCGATTTATAATGGGAGACCTAAGTTCCAATGTGTTTTTCGTGGGCTTTAGGAGCATACTATGGATAAGTGTTACAAGAAACATGGGTTTCCACCGGGTTATAAGCATTTTGACAAATCTCAAAATGTTTTTAATGGATTTGCTAATCGAGTTGAGACCTCATATGGTACTCGCTTCTTCTTTACAAGAATGTGTTGGCTCTAAAGTCATCATAGTATAGCATCTCATTTTTTAGACTCTACTAGCATATAAAGTTCTTTTCCCGAAGCTACCTGGTTCTTTTCCCGAAGCTAATGGTTCTTTTGTTGGTTTGGGTTCCAATACTCGGCTTACGGCTTTTGGTAATCCTAGTTCTATGCGGCTCTCTTTCACTACGGACCAATATTCTAAACATATTATTATGAACCTAAGTGAGGGATCTAGTCATGGGTTGATGATCAATCTTGGGAGCTTGAATTCCCCTCGTGGCACCGGCCTACGCTTGCACCCTATGATGATCGAAGGTGGGCTCGTTGAGAGAGAGCACCAATGACTATAAGGAAATCTAGCTTGCTTCTCTTATTGAAACATATCCTTTAAATAGTACAAGCCTATGTGTAATTATTTTAGGTAATCTACTAAGAATAGTAAACACAATAATTGATAGTGATAATCGGCTAAATAAGAAAATAATCAACAAGAAATATTTCAAAAAAAAAAAACCATAATGATGCCAATAAATCAAGAACCGAATTACGACCAATCTATTCCTTTAAATTCTCTTTTGGTCGCACCTTTCTTTTATTATAATGATGACCCATAAAAGAATCCCTAGCATCACTCCCTCCCTCGACACTAAGCTTGTCCTCGAAGCTCAAAAGTTGGGTAGAACTCTTGGAACTCAATTAATGGCTCCTATGTGGATTCAACCTTAGTTAGTCCTTGCCTCTATTAAGTTTGGAACGTAGAATACACTAAAGAAATGGTACCACATACCTCTTCATCATATAAGGAAGTGGTGTAGGAACCTTTGGAGGAGTGCCCACAAACATTCTCAAAAGGAAGACATAAAATACATAAGGAATTTGGCTTATAACCGGCATAATCGGCTTATACGCAACCAAATCAATGCGTTCCTTAATTTGGTAAGGACCAAAAAATTGTAGAACTAGCTTACAGTGTCGTTTGCTAGCTATTATGACTTAGCGGTATGGATGGATTTTAAGCCATGCGAAACTTTCGAGCTCGAAAATAACTTCCCTATGTTGCTTATCATAAAACTTCTTTATGCGTCCTTAGGCACTGCGATGAATCGGGCTCGTACTTTAGCCAACACCTCATCGCGACGTTGAAGAGCATGGTCCATAACTTCTACTTTTATGAAACCGGGAATGTAGGATAGCGAATCAAAGGGTCTCGACCATACACTAACCTTGAATGATGTAGTGAGCGAGGAAGTGTGAAAACTTGTATTGTAGTAGTATTTTGTCCACCCACTAAACCTACTTTTTAGGATGATCTCTAACAAAGCATCATAAATACATCCCAATAGTCCAATTAACAACCTCTATTTGAACATTGATTTGTGATCGATATGTCGAAGAGAGGGATAATTTGATGTCACAAAGTTTGAACAATTAGATCCGGAATTTACCAGTGAAGGCTGTATCCTTATCCCTCACGATAGATTGGGGAAGGCCAAGTAACTTAAAAATAACTCAAAGAACAAATGGCCAACACTTACGAGTATGTAAGGGTAAGCTAGAGGTAAAAAATTGGACAAATTTGGATAATCGATCAACCTTAAGGAGAACGATTTTCTCCTTAGATTTTGGTAAGCCAACAATAAAATCCATCAAGATGTCCGACTAGATATGCTCCGGAATAAGTAGTGGTTAGAGAAGTCATGTTGGGTGCGAGTGCTCGATCTTGTTTTTCGACAAGCCGAATGCACTCTAAATAAAATCTCAAACCTCACCCTTCATCCCTTTCTAAAAGAAATCAACTCACACCTTTTGGAGAGTTTTACGCACACCTTCATGGGTTATGTTGTAGATAGCTACAATGAAAGTAAAAACAAGAAATGAGGTGGGTAACAAATAAATCCTGCCTTTATAGAGAATGAGACCACCCCGTACTACCTATTTGGCGGTTTCATGTTCGTCTAACAACTTAAAGTGCAAGGCTATCATCATAACAAAAGCTGCAATTTCGGTACGGACCGAATCAAACAAGTGCACCTCGGTTGAGAAATAGCATACGAGTTTCAATCTCCTCTCATCTAGAAAGGGCATCTACCACCTTATTTGTAGCCACTTGATTTATATTCCACTTTAAAATCGAATCCAAGGAGTTTGCTCACCCATTGTTGTTGATGAGAAGTCATGAGTTTCTACTCTAGCGAAACTTGAGGTCGTCATGGTTAGTTCGAATGACAAAAGCTCACCCCCACAAGTATGGCCTCTAATGTTGGATGCTTTAGCCAACCCAATAAGTTCTCGCTCATATGCTTTGGGAAGGTGGAGTACCTATTTTGCAAGTTTTTTTGCTACGAAGGCAATTAGGTGGCCTCTTTGCTAAAGAATCACTCCAATACCGAACTCTAAGGCATCACATTCAACTACAAATCCCATTAAGAAATCGATAATTGGAGAACGGGTGCGGTTGAAAGA